TTTTTGGAGCTATAAAAGTGTGTAAAAATTATAAATGTACAAGAACAATAAGGCTGGAGGTTATGTCATATTTTAGGTGTATGTCCGAATAAGCGGTCTATGTTTTATCCCTAGCTGTAAACACAGAGAGAGATTAACGGGTGCGGGTAAAAATAGGTATCATCAGTACGCCCTTCTGCCAGTCGCCTGAAAATTAATCTTATTGATAAGATCGATTTGCAAAGGATTTGTTCATATATTTGCTGTTTAGATTTTGTCGTTGTGGTGAGCAGTGCAAATATAGATTCCCTGGCTGCCGATGTGCACCGGGAATGTGCCGTACAAAGCAGTGCCAGTGTTTCTATGCAAATTGGGAATGTGATCCGGATGTTTGCAAATCATGCAAAAGCGGTGCGTTCGACTCAACAAATTTCCTTAGATGACCTGACCACTTTTAGCACTTTGGACTTTTACGAATTACTCTTCGGAAAGTAAAAGTCACAAAATGAAATTAGTGATAGCGAGAAGTGAATCTGAGCGAATGCCAGTGAGATGCGCTTGAGTTCCAGCCACTGCTATTAAACAACATCGGCGGACAAACACAGGCCAAGAAAAAGAACGTCTGCGAAAAGTGATCATCTGAAGCCTTATGCTGGACCGAAATGTTGGTTGGTGTGACAAAAAAGAAATAACGCAAGTCATGCCGTGAGTGAGTATGAAGTCTCATCTGACAACAGTTTGGGATTTCTCGAAGAAATCAAGACGGAATTGATGTATGGATGAGTGAAAACGAAAAAAGGAATGCGTATAAAGTCAAACTGACATGCATCATCGAGGAAATTCTCCGTGGTGAAAGAATAAAAGTCAATAAGGGATTTCTTCTCAATCGCTTACTCGGAATTACAATTTGAATTACGTCGTTTGATGCTCCCTGAAATGGAGAAATAACATGTTTAATTCTTATTCAACTGGATCAGAATATAAGAGAGCGAATGGAAAGTTGATTTCGCAGCTTAGATGGCTCAAGCAGTAAATTGGATTGGCGCTTCAGCAGCGCAAGTGGATCCTTAAAATTGGTGCACCAGGCGCAAATAGATTCTCTAAATAAGCGCTCAAGACGCAGACTGTAGAAGGACCGTTGAGACGTTGGGAAGCGCACAGTCGCTTAAGGAGTTAGTACGGAAAAGCGGTATAATGCTTGGTGCCACCGCGAAAAAATCCATGGAAGTAAGCTGGAGAGTGCCTTTGCACTTCCGAGCCAGTCATTG